ACCACACGCTTGAGATTTCGGTAAGATTGTACAGATCCTTTGCGCATCTAGAGGCATCGCAATGCTCCTCAACCCGGCGTCGAGACCAGCTTTAATAATCTCATTGTTCGGCAGTCCAAATCCGTTGTTGTCAATGCTGCTGCCTTTGGCAGGCCGTTGTAATAAATCCAGCGCGGTTTTCCCGTTGATTCTCCTTGCATTCACTCATCGGGTACGATAGTGACAAACTTCTCCTCCATGATTGTCCTTCGGAATTGACTCCAATCTCACAAAATGTGACAAAAGTAGATACCTGCAGAGATAGTGACTAACTCAATTTCGTCATGGAAATTAAAAATGAGCGGGCACATGGTGTATATCCTCTCTGATTCAAAGATCGAGATGAAAGACTTACCATCCATCAGGCTATCAGTCTGGGATATTGATCATCGCATTGAGTTCCCAAAAACACCTTGAGCCCCTGAACCCAGCGAAGGAATTCTTACAATTTGTACCCTTTGATTTGAGTAGTAACTGGTCCAGTGTACAATTCCGAGGCGATGTGTATTATTGCATAGTGACTAATTCAGTGGTAATTGACTGCAAGCAATGGCGTTTTTGTTTCTTCTACCAAACCAGGAAAGTAACATTTCACCAAACAATACCCAATTGGACGAGTATTCTGTGGTTGTCAAGTGCTTAGCAATGCGCGGTACAAATGCAAGAACGACGACGCTAGTAGAATAGGTATTCATTAACTGGCTGAACGTATTACCATTATGCCTGCCCTTGCAACGCGTGGAGTTTGTAGCGAGGTATGAGCGCATGTACATTTCTCAGGGCTTCTGCTTCATTAGTTTATCTTCAGATCCCAGCATCTTTAAGGACTTACTTGCTTTGTTCTTGGATAATCTTTAAAAACAAAGAAAACCAAGCTGCAGATTAATCGATATTGGGGGAGTTGAGAGGTGAAATTGCGTGCACTTGCCAGAGTTGGAGCCTAGTAACATTCGGAACAAGCTGCGGAAAGCCGAGACAAAGCTCAATCCCTGCTTCTCTCTGCAGGTACAGGTTTTTAGCAAATGATGAGGAACATTTAAGACAATTTGAAATAGTTCTTCAAAAGAACCCAATATTAAATCTCAACTTAAATTTACTATCCTTGGTCTAGTGCTGTGTCAGGATTTGAAAATAGAGCTCTAAGACTAGAGCCCCCTGCTGGACCTTGATCCTTACACTCATATTCCTAGCATCAGCACAAAAAGAATTGGCCTACTGATCAAGAGTTCGTACGCCGACTTCGACAAGTGACTGCTTACCAGAAAACAAAATTTGGACTCGCAAAAGACGCTGATCGCAATTACAAGACAAGGCAAATCAGATTGCACGCATGTGAGTAGGGTTGCCCTGCCCCCTTTCCTCTGGGAAACTTCCAACAGTGTAGCGACACTCGGTGCATTTCCCAATTCACTTTTGACATGACATTGTGCGGTCACATCAAGTACTTGTATACTGCAGCCAAACTTAATGCTAATCCGATCTGCATTAATTAGAAGCATGAATGGTGGAATAGATTGTCGAACTTCGCGTATTAACCATTGTGTTCATATTGTTTCTCCCTTTCGAAACATACGTAATTATCTGGTCAGTTTCTCACCATATTTCACCATTGAATTTTCGCAGTTTGACTACAAAGATCTGCATGCAAAAAAAGGTCCTGTGTCGATTAGTCCGTCGCGTGTGATGCTGTTGGCTGGCACCCTTTACAGGATTGGCAAAGCAGTGATCGCCACGCTCTGTATGTTTCAAGGCTGGTACTCTAATTCAGTCATACCAGGTCGCAGGATGTCAAGACTGTCTAAGACTTTAAGATCGGTAGCTGGCGCAGAATTTCACTAGAGATTGGTTCGATGGAGGGATTAAATAATCACTCACCGCTCCATCTAGAATTTGCTTAGCCTTTCCATGCATTGTGTCCGTCGTTAATGCAATGCAATACTGTGTAAATTCTCATGATGTTTCAGTACTCTGCTAACACACTTTGTACTCATTTTGATGTCCATGAAGTGTCGAACTGGTGTACTGGTATGTGGATTGCAACAAGTGGAGTTCATTCGAAAAACCACGCTTGCCATGAGATGTGGGAACAATCGAAGAGGAAGATCGGGATTCTGCTTCCTACGGTGCCGCGTCCCTCGAAACTCATCCTACAACGATTCCTACATCAAGGTGAGCAAAGATTTCCCCAAGAAATCCCATTCTCGTGAACATTCTCTAAGCGAGAGATTTTATGTGATTACTCAAACATCACTTAGTCTGCTGCGCAGAAAATTGTGACATTATCTTCACTGGAAAGCGGCCTTGGCTCTTCGGGAGGCCAAGTTCAGGCACGAGCTAGTGAGTCCTTACCCTCAGAAAACACAGGGGAATCGAGAGAAGCATTTATTAGGGCAGACAATATCAATATCTGGCAATCTCAGTTAAACCCGACCGGTTAGCCAAGTGTTCATTCTGGAATCAATTGCGTTGCAGGTTTTCAAGCGATCGTCGCTGTAAGTACTGCAGGCTGCAAAATTGAATCTGAAAACGAGGAGGTTTCTGGTTATGACAGGCATGTACCGGTTGCTAGTTCCATGTACCAAGAGTGACAAACAAAACTTACATATACACAGACTCTCATCTCGAGTACTCAAACCTGCTCAAGCACTGAGCATCAAACTGTACAGGCTGAGTACTTGAAAGCTCAGAGCATGTGTGTGCAGAAGCGTATCCAGTTGGGTACATGGTAGAGTGCACAAGCGGGTACCGACTTTGTTGTTGTTGCCAGTCTGGCTTTGGATGAATCTACCATTGTGTTGTGGCTCATGTCAAGTTTGTGGTTTTCCTCCCCCCAAAAACATGGTCTCATGTGGACACCGTCATGAGAAAGATTTGCATGGAAATGGAGTGTGGATTTTTAACTTGTGTGGGTGGTGTCGAAGCAGGTAAAAAGCTCAGTTGGTGCCATTGATTCTGCAAGCTTCCCACCTGCATATTGCTTTGCGTGAAGTTCTGCAGCATTCGAAAATGTTGCACAGTCTGCAAAGTTGAGGATATGTGGGAGAATAGTACTAAGATATGGAAGGAATTGAAGTCCAGTTATCCGGTCCTTTTTTCAGTGCGGGACTGTATATGCGTACTGACAATGGTTCTTTTGCTTTTCCTTTTTCTTCTCAATTTTTGTTTTGTTTTGCTTTTGTTTTTTTGTAGGAAAAATTTGAACCTCAGGTAAGGGCTGCACACGTGAGGTCAGGCGAGACTGAAAGCAATTTTCTTTTTTTTTTTTTTTTTTTTTTTTTGGAAATGTATTGAAAGATGAAGAAAAGATTGTTTGTGATAAATCTGGTGTTGTAAGAGTAATCTTCATAATAACACTAAAAACCCAAAAAATTGTAACAAATGAATTGAAATATTTGAAACGTGAAACATATCCAAATGGCATTTTTTTTTTAAATTAAAGTAAAGAACGTATAGAAGAACTCAAAAAATACAAAATTTTAATTCATGATTTTTTGAAATTTAATTAGATGTTCATCGAAGGATTACATGTATGTGTATCTATTTGTGTGTAGATGTATGTATGTATAAACAACTCTTTCCATCCTTCATTCATATTAAGAGACTTACACAACAATTCTTGCATTTATTTACATATTTAAAGTATGTGAATTCTTATCATCACACCTTCTATCTTTTTAGCATTTCTACATCTATTTGGCTCTGTTCAAATATTTCTATAAAGTAATCTCTAAAGTGAATTTTTAAAATGTAAAAATGTAAAAACTCATCCCCTCATTGAAGAAGAACCATGCCGAAGACATTTTTTCAATAAATATGCTTATCCAGATTGTCACTAGAGGTGTCAACAAGTTTGTTGTCTATTGTCATGTTTCAAGCTGCTCAAATTTTGATTGGTGACATTTCTACACAAGATGGGTGCATCACACAATTTGCACACATGGAAATGAGGGACACCTTTGATGTGAAGAGAGAATGTGAATTTGTTATGATTTGAGTGTTAAAAGCAACCAATTGTCAAGAACTCACATTCTCTGAGTACAATCAGACTAAATGGAAAATAGTACAGTAACCATTTCTCTGCAATTAGTTTTAATTTTTTAATTTTTGTTTTTGCTAACATGTTGTATGTAAGAAAACCCAAATTTGGGATGTGTAGATAGGTTATCAACACACACACTGCAATCTAGGGTTTGCTCTTTTATATCTTCAATTCAAAAACTGTCTCAAGTGGCAGAATGGGAATCTACACAAAGATTTTGTATGGGGACCCTTGAGCAATCATGCAGAACAAAATCTATGTAGCTTGATAGCAATTTGTACATTGCAGCACAAACAACAATGAGCCCAAAAAGTGTTCAAACATCCTAAAACCTTTTTTAAAAAAATTGGTGTGGGAGCTGTGTTTGCAGGGACTGAATGCATGATTGAGAAGGTAAGAAAGCTTAAACCCCATTTTTTATATTATCCAAGGCGTGATAAATGTTGCCACTTTGTATGGTTCACAACAACATGCCCTTGCATATGGATGTACTCTTTGACAATTTTGTGTCTTTATACATAGTTGATTTTGTATTTTTTTTAAGTGTGATAGACTTTTCATTCTACTAGGATTTTCTTTATAATTTTTAAAATTGTGAATGTGCAATTGCTTCACGTAAGGAACCACTTCACTTGTCAAGACTCATATTTGATTGAGTTGACAAAACAATTTTATAACCAAGGTTTTGTTTGGTTTTGTTTTGTTTAATGAAGTAATTAATTACAAGGGAAGTTGATAATAAACTATTAAAATGGGCAAAATGATATGATTTTACCCAAAAGAGAGATGAGCACAAGTCAGACAGATTTCCTTTAAAATGTCGTTCCTCAATTCGAAAGAAGAACAGGTCAGAGATGGCGTGGAGGGCAGGACCAGTTTTGGACCTGGAGAGTGAGTGTGAACAGAGCTCCGGAATTAGGGTTTCCTACCAGCGGCTTTAAGTTCCAACTCGGAACTCGTTGATGCCCTTTTCCCTCTGACGACTTCAGCTCGCACGGAGCTTGTTTGCTGCTTCGACAGCAGCCATGGCCGTCGGCAAGAACAAGCGTATTTCCAAGGGGAAGAAGGGAGGCAAGAAGAAAATGTACTTCTTTCCAGTACTTTTCTACTGTGAATTCACGGCTCCACTGCGTCTGCCAAGTGTTTGTGTACTAGCTGTCTTGAGTGATGGTTTGGTTTCTAGGGTTTAGTGTGCTTGTGTGGTATATGCGGAGGTTCTAACTAGAGCGACGATGATTTTTGCACTGCAGTGTCGATCCTTTCTCCAAGAAGGACTGGTATGACATCAAGGCACCCAACACCTTCACGCAGAAGAATTTGGGGAAGACTCTCGTCACTAGGACCGCGGGAACTAAGGCAATTAGCTCTTCAGATGTCTTATATATATATATATATATATATATATATATATATGTTTTGGGTTTCTTCGTTAGGGTTTCATTTTTGTCTCATTGGGTTGTTTATTGCAGACGTTTGATTTCATTCGTTTTCTGCATTTTTCCTTTTTTTTGTTTCTCTATTTTTTGTTTTAAAAGAATAGGTCTGTGTTTAATAAGCTTATTTTGCGTTTTTCTGCTTCCAATTGAAAGCGAGCATATGAATTTAACTCCTGTTTGGATGCGACAGATTGCCTCCGATGGGTTGAAGGGACGTGTGTTCGAGGTCTCGTTAGCCGACTTGCAGAATGATGAAGATCAGGCTTTCCGCAAAATCAAGCTGAGGGCCGAAGATGTCCAGGGCAAGAACGTTCTTACAAATTTTTGGGTATGGGCCACTAGATACCTCCGCAAACTGTTTTATTAGGGCTTACTCGGAATGCTGATTTCGAAAAGTCAATGACATCGATTAGGAAACGTAATTAATGTCAAATTTTGTAATGTCATGATGTTGTTGGAAAAAGGAAATATCGTGGAATATGTCTGTATGTTTCGGGGTAAGAGTGAGGACAGTTCTTAATGAATGGATCGTTCCTTGATTGGCTCTAGGGCATGGACCTCACCACCGACAAGCTGCGCTCCTTAGTACGAAAGTGGCAGAGTTTGATTGAGGCTCACGTTGACGTGAAGACCACTGACAACTACATGATCCGCATGTTCTGTATTGCCTTCACTAAGAAGAGGCCGAACCAGATCAAGAAAACTTGCTACGCTCAGACGAGCCAGATCCGTCAAGTACGTCTTGGGCGATGTTAACGGATAACAATGTCACAGCGTGTGTTCATTTCCTATTTTTTACTTCGTCTAGGTGTCACAATACTTACTTCTGTCTGCTTTTAGTTTGTAATCAAAGATCTAAAACTGCTTCAGCTGTAGACGAAGCGATGGGTTGGACTTACTTTGGATTCATATTGTACCCTAACTGTTAGGGCACTAGTTGGGATTTGAACTGTAGCCGCCGCTGATAGATTATGAGATCTAGCTAGTACACTTGTCCCTTTCGCATCCATACTCATTTTTAACGAACCATCAACTTTACAGATCAGGCGCAAGATGCGAGAAATTATGGTGCGTGAAGCTCAGTCTTGTGACTTGAAGGAATTGGTTGCCAAATTCATTCCTGAGGTCATCGGGAAGGAGATTGAGAAAGCAACTCAGGGCATCTACCCACTTCAGAACACTTTCATTAGGAAAGTGAAGATCCTTAAGGCTCCGAAGTTCGACCTTATGAAGTTGATGGAGGTACGTTAAGGAGTTGTTGTTTTGCATGTGGACAGAACTGTGTGACGGCTTTTTCAACGTTTTTTTTTTTTTTTTTTTTTTTTTTTTTTTTTTTTGTTGACTTATTTTACTTCACATAAAGAAACGACCAGTAAAATCGTTAAATAGTTATTAAGTATAGTTAAGCAGCTGGGAGGGTTATCAGAGCTCCTCATATAATCATGACTTTGCTGGTCATACGTTTGAGGGATTGCAGTGAACCTGCTGCCATTTTGACAATTCGATTTTACTGGTCTTTTACGTGTCTGGTAGGTCCACGGAGATTACAGCGAGGAAGTCGGTGCCAAGATCGAGAGGCCAGTTGGAGATGAAGCAGAACCTGCAGCTGAGGCTGCCCCAGTTCCTGGAGCTTAAGTTTTGGTTTTGGTTACGTTCTTGCCTCAAACGTCCCTTTTACAGAGAAGGTTGGCTTATGCAAACTGGTAGAGCTTATGTTTTATACGGTTTGGGAAGCATTTTCAAAGCTTCTCTATCAATACAATGATTGAAAATGTCGTCAGGTGTGCGATGGACATGTTTTTCTGTCTGGTGCCACGAATCTCAATGCATGCTGAGAAGTATTATTCAATGTGTATGACAAAAGTAATTGCCACTGCTTAACTTATCAAGCCAGATTGAAGGATGGAGGGTATCCAAGTGAGAGTGAGTTTGATTGGTTTCTCCTGCAATTTTGTCGACGATGTGGCTTTCTCCTGTAAACCTTCAGACATAATTCCCAGAGTGAAGTTACAGTCTTCCAAGAAACCCGCATATGTGTTATTATATATACCCAGCCTCACAGTGCATCCTAAGAAAATAGGATTTGATTTCTGCTTATATAACCGTCACATTTTATCGTAAATTACAGGCTTAACATATCTGTAGTGACTTCTGTTCCACTCAATTTATTTTGATTAATGTTCTTCTGTCATGATAATATAGATGTGGTACATATCAAACTGTTAGTATGGGTGGGTGTATGCGACAGTGTGTCTGCAAGTCCAAATCTTGCATTACTTTTTAAATTATTTTTTGTGCAATTTGAAAAGTAAAGTGCAACTATCAATAATATCATTTCATACTGTTAAAACAGTTAGTAACTTTTTTGAATACAAGGGCTTCAACAAAAACACAAAATCTGAGATTACTTATTTAGAACAGTTTGTTAGTTTTTTTTTGTAGGATTTGTGTGGATATTTTGCTCCTCTTATTAATAATTATCCAATGATTATAGGGTATGTAATTTTTTTCCATAGATTCACATTTTGTGAAATAAGTACAAATATTTTTCAAAACAATTTTTCAAACCTCAGACTAATTTTATTCTACTACCAATCTAGATTTGAAAAGAACTGAAAGCATTGTGAAGCTAAAAATATCCCAAATTACAAACAACCAATTTTAGGTAGTTATAATGACAAAGTCTTTTGTTAGAGAATAAGATAATTAAACAAAATCTGTAAAAATATCTTAAATTCTTGGTTGATGTATAATAAGCTTTTGATCTGTTTGATGCTTTTAAAGTAAAATATATAAACTTGGATATTATAAACAATACTATTGAAATCATATTTAATTGTGTACAATAAGTCTATGAATCCTCCTTGACAAATTGGTGTAGCTAACTATCTTCACAATAGCATCTACAATAGCCAAAGAAAGTGAGGGAAGAGTTGAATAAGAGGATTTATACCCTCCACAATGTAACATATTGGGATAATGGGAGGATTGCAAAGGCTTGAGAGGTAGGAAAGTCAAGAGTTCAAGAGGCAGTGAGGAGAGGGGATTCACGAGGGGATCATGTTGAGAATGCTCCTCACAAAGGAGCATTGTGGGAGGAATTTGGAGTAGTGGGCTAGGATTTGCATTATTGATGTGGCCATCATAGTCTATGATCCATTCATGTAGAGAAGAGGGTCTATATGTATCAAGGTGAAGAACTACTTGAGAAGAATTTGAGACCTAGTTTTAAGTTAGGAAGGACAAATATTGAGATTTTTACATGCATTGCAAAAGAAGACTATTTTAGGATAGTATTAGTGAGGAAGATGACAAAGAGAGAACATGTTACTCTTGATGATAGATTTGGTCTTAATGTTGTACAATTTGCTTGAGAATTGTACAAGCCTTACATTATTTCTTTCATTTGCACTCTAAAAGATGAGTAGAGTCACATCTACCTAGTTGGAGATGGAACAAGATGGCACCAAGGGTCTAAGAAGACAAGAAACTAGAGAGAATCTGGCTATGAATAACTACCTTGGCCACCCAATTCTCCAAACCTCAACCCAATTGAGAATTGGATGATTCTCAAATAATACCATAAGAAGCATTTCTTGCAAAGAGAAAAGAGACCTCATGATACCCAACAATTGTTTGAAGCGGCACATGAAGAGTAGAATCTCAATTATTAGGATACTATAGATAAATGGATAGATGAGATGCCCAAAAGATTATAGGTAGTTCTTAATGCAATGGAGGTCTTAATGCAAATAGTGTTAGTGAAGTTTGGATGGTACTCTTGTGGTCCTATGAATTTTGTGAATACAGAAGCTGGAGTGTGGTTGTGTGCCTCACCAGAGCAAATTTGTTTTTCATAGGCAGGAATACAAAGACCTATTGCACATGACTAGATATAATGCTTTTATATCCCTATAACATGTTTTAGTGATGAAGAGGTTGCTATTCAATATTAAACAAATTTAATATATTAAATTTATATTATATATTAATACACTCAAATACCAATCTAAAATTTGATATTAAAATGTGCAATAAAATGTATGAAGTAAAGAATGTTTTTTTTTATTTTTTTATTTTACATTTTATAATTTTGTTCACGATCATCCATATGTTCAAATAAGCCATACTGTTTTAATCATAACTCAATCATTGTTGTAGTGGCCTTGTAGACTATGATTGCTGTAATTTAGCAACCATCTCCGTAAACTTCAAATTTATTTTCATTTCTTTCTTAAAACTATTTTTTTGCTTCTCTGGTTTCAATGTTTATTTTTTCCTTGTACTTTGGTGCATGAAACTTCTGGAATGGAGTTTCTCAAAAGCAAGTTCACAATTCGTAACTTCGGGATCGCCTTTGACTAATTTGATGCCGAATTTGGCAAATTGAAATTACTGTTGATCACCGTTCAGAGTTTAGTACAAGAACAACCATGTGGGTGTTTACAAAGCAAATGCAGAAGTACAAAAACCCAAATGAATATGCTACTTCACTACGGCCACAAATAATGACCAACTCAACAACTGAATTGCATTAATCATGAATACCATCCCATCAGAAAGTGGGACAGAACTGTATCCACGAGTAAAGTGTTTTAATCCGTCAAACGGTTATGTAATTGCTAATCTAAACCACAATGAAGCCTCCCACATTTTTATTCAAATTCTATGGCCCTCATTGCTACTAGGAACTTTAACTTAAAGACATTGCACCCGATCTGTAGCATAAAGAAATGCGGAGTCGAAGGCAACAGTAGTTAGTAACTTGACGGCCGGATGCATAGGTTACCTGCACAGAAACGACATACAAGACAATAAGCGACACAATTTGACTGTCCTACAAAGAGCTAACGTGAGGTTTATAAAGAGATTACAGAGAGAAATGTGTCTTAAATTATCACTCCCATTTCTACAACCTAACATAACTTTTAAACTACAACAATTGGTTTCATCGCCACTGTAACAATCTCGCATGAACACGGCTGGGGTTTGTCCCTGTGCTTCTACAGCGTGCGCCCAGATTTGGCAAATAGTATCATACCCAAAGTACATAATGTTTCGTACCATGTTTTCTGGAATCTGAGAATATATGCCTTCCTTGCAGACCTCCCCCATTGCACCAGAACACAAAAGGCGACTAGACTGAATCATGTCTAGTAGCCATGGCTAAATGGAAGTGCAATACTTCCAGCCTGGGCATAAGAGTTTGAGCCCCACAAGCTCCATGGAATGGATTATATACAAGCTTACAATCACAAAGTTCGGACGAGATTTCTTGGCAGCCTAAGCTCGAGCACCCCAATCCTGAAGCTTGCGGACCAGATTGGAATACGAACGAGGGCTGAGCTTGAGACCTCGTTTGCTCATCTCCTCCAAAAGTTCAAAGGCAGTATCTATTTGCCCAGTTTGCCCTAGAGCGCTGATTAAGCTTGAGTAACTGACAATGTCAGGTTTGCCTCCTTGTTCTTTCAGATCCTCCAAAGTGTTGAACGCTTCTGACACTCTACCTGCTTTAGCAAGCGCGTCAATGAGAGCGTTGTATGAACTAGCGCCAGGCCAAAGACCTTTCGAATTTGCAAACTGGAGCAACTCATGTGCTTCGTCCACGTTGCCCCAACTGGTGAGGATTTCTAAGCACTCGTCAAACTTCAGCGAATCGAATGCACAGCCTTGCTCAATCAGCTCTTTCAGTAGCCCACAGGCATCGTCCACCTCTTTAGTTTTCGAAAGGCCCAAAAGGAGAGCGTCATATGTTGCAACGTCAGGAAGAAGCCCACTTTCTTTCATGTCCTCGAAAATCTTACGAGCCTCTTTAAATCGACCGCCTCTTCCTAAAGAATTGAGAAATGCGTTGTATGTAATCACATCTGGTGACAGTCCTTTACCCCGCATTTCAGAAAATAAACGGTCAGCGTCGTCCACTTGACCTGCCTTCCCAAGAACAGTAATTATTGAGCAGTAAGTAAATAAGTCAGGTTGAATACCAACGCTTTCCATTTCCTCAAATAAGACACAGGCACTCTCAACTCTGGCAGCTTTTCCCAAGGCAGTGATCAAGGTGCTGTAGGTCACAACGTCAGGATTACATCCTTTCGACTTCATCCGATCGAAGAGACGACCTGCATCGTTCAAGAGGCCAGCTTTGCCAAGCCCATTTATCAAGGTATTGTATGTGATGGTATCAGGAGGACATCCCTCTTTCTCCATTTTCTTCAAAACTTGACACGCCTCATCTAGTTGGCTAGCTTTAATAAGGCCAGTTATCAAACAGCTGTAGGTCACCACATCCGGCTTGCATCCATTACGCTTCATCTCGTCTAAAAGATTATAAGCTTCAACCAAATCCCCGACTTTTCCAAAGCCGGCAATGAGGGCATTGTAAGTGACAACTCCTGGTTTGACGCCTCTCTCTTTCATTTCATCTAGAAGCTCCAGTGCATCATCCACACGACCAGCCTTGCCGAGCGCGTCCATTAAGGCAGTGAAAGTTATGGAATCTGGCTTCCGACCCCGACGTTTCATTTCTTGGAATAACTTGAAAGCCTTGACAGTCTCTCCATCTTTCCCTAAGCCTGTAATCAGCGAACTGTAGGTCATCACATCTGGCGGACATCCATGCCGTTCCATCTCCTCGAGGAGCTCCATAGCTTTCTGTGACCGTCCGACTTTGCCTAGCCCATATATGAGCGAATTGTAGGTGAAAGTGTCAGGGACACAACCTCTCTCCCGCATCTCCGCGAATAATGTGAACGCCTCACTCAATCGCCCAGCTTTCCCTAAGGTGCTTATCAAACAATTGTAGGTGCGAACATCAGGAACACATCCGTTATCCCGCATCTCTGCGAGAAGGCGCAGCGCCTCATCGAATTGACCCGCTTTGCCAAGGCAGTCAACCAATGTGTTGTATGTCCACAGATTTGGTTTACAGCCCTTGGCTTGCATTTCCGCCACCACCTCAAGCGCAGCTTCCCATTTCCCAGCCCTGCCAAGACTGTTGATAAGACAACTATACGACACAACATCTGGAGTCCACTTCGCTGCTTTCAACTCCTCGAACAGTAACTGTGCTTCTTCACATTGTCCAGCCTTAGCAAGGGCATTTAAGAGGCTGTTGTATGTCACTACGTTTGGTGATGGAAAACCCTTCATCTTCAGAGTAGAAAAAACTTTCTTAGCCTCCTCCCATTTTCCAGCCTTCCCAAGCATGTCAATTACTGCATTGTATGCTACGACGTTGGGAGTGAAGCCCTTTCGTATCATCTCCTCCAGGAAAACAGCTGCAACACCAGCCTGTCTCTTTGCCTTTCGGAAGCCATGGATCAGTAGACTATAGGTGTATGCAGTTGGTGCGCAATTCATCTTGACCATCTGCTGGTACATACGGATAGCCGTGTGGCGGTAGCCTCCTTGAAAGAGCAATTCGATTAACACATTGTAAATATTGGAATCAGGCTGACAACCTAAAGCTTGGGCAGTCTTGCAAAGTTGGAGTGCTTGTAAGGGCTGTCCTACCTTGCCAAAGTTCAACAGTAGGACCCGTAATGTGGCTACAGACAATTTAATTCCTCGGCGTTGCATGTTCATGAGCAAATTCTGTATACACTCAAGGCTCTGTACAGATGCAAGCCTTTGGATAACCAGATTGTACGTGTACGCGTTATGCATATAACCAGGTTGTGTACCAACCCACAGAAAAAACTTGTATGCCGACTTGGGATCTTTTATGCGCCGTAGAGAGTCTTCAACGATAAAAGATGAGAGTGGAATGCGAAGATTGCGAAGAGTTTCTCCTGTTTTGGGACCCCACCCCTCCTGATCCACGACTGAAGTCAACTTCTTGATATGATCTGCATTGCAATGTGCAGAAAATGCATCCTTTAGCATGGAACGAGTACGAGAAAATCTAAAGAGCTCCCGTCTGATAATGGATTTTGGGACACTGGTTTAAATCTCATGTGTGCTCAGAAAAGTTTACCTTCTCAACAGAAAATAAAAAAGCTCAAGTGAAAAGGGTATGAAATCAATGACCAAATCTACAACAATTACGAGAATTACCGATAGAGGCATTTGCAGTAACATGCAAGGGCAATGGTGCAGCCCTTGCTCGCCTGGCCTGAACATCTCCTTCCAACACCTTGGTGTTTTCAGGGACATTGAATTTCAAAGAGCGGGTGTCATAAGATTTGAAAGCTGGCACAGCTGTGACAGTAGCGGCAGTTGTAATTGCACAGTCGTCGTGCAATCCTCGCAACCATCGAGGACGTCTGAAAACTCCCAATGCCTCTCTTTGGTCGTTAACATCAAAGCTACATTTGCAAAAGGAATGAAACTCAGATAAATAAGCTTTTGAAGAGAACTCCCAGTTGTTGAGGAGAGTCCAGTGACGCGAGAACAGAGCTTTGGAAGACCTTGACGCCGAAAACTGCGCCATCGTCTTCTTCTGCTTCACGGAATGACACAGGCCTCATCAGTAGCTTGGAAGACAGAAGGCTCCACTTGTTCCAAACTCGAAAAGAATCTGCTCCGGACCCATGCAAGGGGGCGCGACATTTATATCGACAAACAATGCATCCTGTGAAAATTCCGATCAATCACCAAGAGTAGAACCTCAAATGCAAGAATTCGCAGCTAATTCTCAGTCACAGGTACAAATTGTAAAAAGAAGCGATAAAAAGTGCCACAGATTTCGACAGAGTAAACAAATTTTAAAAACTACCGAATTCCTCTCCAGATAATAAACAAATCGCAACCACAGGAAAATACAACTTCCACCTACGGCAGCTACCATTCCTCTCCATTTCCCACGCGTGTATGATATGTCTCGGACGCATTCTATCCTCCCTTGTCTCACACATTCTCCAATCCAATCCGAGAGTCCAATTTAAACTCAAACCTTAACTCAAACCTTAACTCAAACCATCCATATCTCGTAAACTTTCAAAACCATCAGCAGCAAGGAAAATGAACATGAAGATGCAATCTACCTGCTCCCTACGGTACAAAACCCTGGGGCTCTCTCCTGCAAACGCATCGCAAGGAAGGTTCAGGGTTTAGGGTTTAAGCCTCTGCTGCACTCCATCACCGAGATTCTCGTACATATTACGCTGTGTGAACAGAGCTTTTTAACATATACGTGATGTCACCGTGTGAATGCATTAGCCAGAGACGAATGGATGTCGTGCCGATTTGGATGGATGATTCAAAGCAAGGTTCAAGATGTATGAATGTGTCACTCCTACAACACTGTTACACTCTTTGAGGATTCTTCGTTTCACATTATTAACTTTAGGTTTTAGGCATTGATCCATAAGGAGGTGCACCGATTCAGCCTTTACACCAAAAATTCAGACATATATATATATATATATATATATATGTTTGGAAATTCACTTTTTTTAATATTCCTTAATTTTGAAGTTAAAAAAATATTGTGAAGAATTTATTACTTATTAAATTATAATGTTTCATAATATTATTATTTATAAATAAGTAAATCAATGATTTGATGCTTGTAGCATTTTTTTTTTCACATTTGAATGTGTGATTTTGAATAAAAGAAATATATAAGAAAATATAAATATATATATATATATATATATATATATATAATCAAACAATGTGATTCTTTTATGTAAATAGTAACAAGTTGTCCCTTGTTTTATATATGATTTTTTATCACATGATATGTTTTGTAACAATGGCTTGTTATATAGAAGAACTAGCAAAAACATGTGCCGTTGGGTATGACAATTTTTGGCACATCCATCCATTCATCTATTCATTTGTACTCCTTTGGTTCCATGTTCTCATATTCTTTATTCTCATATTATGTGGTTTTCATGTTTAGCCAATCAAAAGCCTTCGTCATCTCTTTATGCAATACCTATGTTGTTCTTTTAATATATACAAAGTGAATAGTTATTAATTTCTAACATATTTTTTAACAATATAATAAAAATGAAATAAAAATCTAAATATAATTTTGTAATAGGATATTATTCAATTTCTAATAGAGTCATATCAAATTACACAATTATATATGTGTTTGATAATACTACTAAATCTAGATTATTGCTTTGAAATCATACCAATAAATCTAATGTAGATTATAGAATTACTTATTAGAAACTATAATTTTTATTTTTATTTTTTAAAATTAAATATTTATCAAATATTTTTATTTTTTATGTTTTATTTATTTATTTATACTTATTATTTTACTTTAAAAATGTACCAATATATTTTTGTATGTCCCTTGAAAATCATTAATATATTTATTGTAACCTATTGCTTATTTTATTTAAAAGTATAATATTGAAGATAAGATAGTATTTTCAATAATTATTTTTTATGTATTTGAAGGCTTTAAGAAAATTATATTTTTATTTATTTACTTATTTTAAAAAATTAAATATAAAAAATTATTAGGTATACAATTATATTTTTGTTGCATGAACACTTCTTATAGTATGCATCCTTGTATACACACAAATAAAATTTCATTTATACAACAAAAAAAAAAGTTAAGGTAATTTTAGAAAAAAATATTTGTGTATAATTACATATGATATTTTTTTAATGAAAATTTATAAAAATATTATAATAAATTTTATAAATTTTTTTTTCATTTGCTTTTAAAATATTATCAACCTCATTTAAATAATATTTTGATATGAAATAATTCTGAAACTTTTTAATATAAATAAAATTTTAATTATGGATATGCAAGGATGCATAAAAAGGGAGTGTCTTTTTAATGGTTACCTAAATTTGTAATAAGTAAGAACAAAGTTCAAATATTTTTAATTCCTTAAATTATTTCATTATTGCTTACTTAATAATGTTAATTGGCTATTTTAAAATATTTTTTGGCAAAGTATTAAAAACTATTGTATTGGATTTGTAAATTTTTTATAATTAATTCTATAATAAAATGATTGTATTTTAATATGATATATATATATATGAAAATATTAATTTTAATTTATTTTTGATATATATATTTACTAAAAAAATTCATTTAATAATCTAAATGATAGTATAATTATTGAAATAACCTAATTCATTCATATTTGTATAAAATAGAGAGGTTTTTGTATGATGAAAATTTACCAAAAAATATTGTAATATTTAATATTTTTACATTTTTTTTTGGCTGTGAATAAAGTTTTAATTACAATTTAAATCTTTTAAGTAACATAAAGTTATAAATAAACATACATAAATATATGAAGTTTATTGAATCAATTTATAGTTATTTTTATTTGAAATTATTTTTTAAAAAATATTATTAAAAAATCTAAATTAATATACAATATATTTGAAAGTTGTCTTAAATAAAAAAACATAATAGTTAAAATTATGGAAGTGATTGTATTTTATATGTATATTATAAATTGATTAAATATATATATATATATATATATATATATATATATATTGTTATTCATATCTAAAGAAAATAAATATATAAAATTTTAAAATATATTTTAATATTTTATAATTTTTTTTTTTTTGCAACATGTATACAATTATATCCTAATTAATTCAAATAGTAATGGATCTTAAGTAACATATATTTTTTACCAAGCTAGTGATTATTTTAATCTTAGTTGGTTAAATAAAACATAAGAGCACTTCAAATGAAGATTGAGAATAAGGATGGATAGAGATAGGAATGAAACGAAGGAAGATAGTGGAAATAAGGATAGGAATGGGATCTAAAAATGGAGATAAGAGTTAGATATAAGATGATGAGGTCTTATAATGGACATGGATGATGGTTTAAGGTGAGATAGAATTAATTCTAAACAATTCAAATTTGTCATTTTGAATGAAGCTAATTATCATAGACATACATGTTCATCCCAATAATTATTTATAAAATTAAGTAGAAGTAGGTAAAAGTAAATTAATTTCATAATATCTTCTAAATTAGCTTCTTAGAAGCTTTATAGATGCTATTTTGACTTCATACATGTTTGTAGCTAATTAGTAGGCTAATAACTTGGTCATTAAGTTAGCCATGTTACACACCTATTAAGAGCTTGTAGATTAAGCTAACTACGTGGTGTACATATACATAACTTGCATTGTAAGTTAAATCATGTGTCTAGCAAAGTTAACACATATTGGAAGTCTTATAGAATATTGCTATAAAAAACTTAGTTAAAGAGTATATGTGGGGGCAAGAGTGAAAAAGGCTTCACTCTTGTCAATACCTCTCTAGCCCTTACTCTTATTTTAAGACTTTCTAGTCTTCTTATTTTTGACAGTAGCTATTCTAATTTAATATTATATCATCTTTGAGTGATTTTCTAGTCCTTTTGAGTAACACAAGAGTGTATTGATATTTTAGTTCTTTGAAGTTCATATCCTTGATAGTTTGACAAGAGTCCTAACTCATTATTTTTATCTTTTTTTGGAAGTGAGTGGATTATTCCACTTCTATTGTTGTATTTTGAAGGTTGTAGATTACCCACCTTTAAACAAACTCTGTAGTTTTTTAACACTATTTTTTTCCTTGAAAAAAGTGGATTATTTCTCTTTGTAAAATTTTTCATTTGATATTAGAGGTTGCAGATTATCTTTTTCCAATTTGACTTGTGGATTTGTAAAGTTGTTTGAAATGGAAGAAAAAATTATGGATGTTATGTTTGGCAAAAGTAAAAATAGATTTGTAACTATTACAGATCTTCACAAATTTGTCAATATTCTTAAGATAAAAAAACAAGTAGATTGAGCTTATAACCAAATCCAAGAAGTTTTATTTTTATGAGTACAATAAGACTAAGGATTAGTATGTCTAAAATTTTTGACAAAATAAGATCAAAATTTTGAAGATTTTTCTAACAAGTCAAGTTCTTTCTAAAGTTGCATACCTTCCAATATCTTAATGGATTTACTAAAATTAGATTCATAGGCATATTATTATTTAGAAGTACTCTTTTTTTATTTGTATCTTTAATAGAAAATGATTCACGATTCTTTTATGATTTGAATTCATTTTTAAAAGTATTTACAAGTATATTTGGAAAAAATAATTAAAAAATAATAAAAAATATCAAACTCTTATTTTTATGATAAAATTCATAGTCAGCTATCATATATGCTATTAAATTCTAAAACCTTGCTTGCAACATGGATTGAAATGAAAAAGCCCTTATTAATCAATTTTAATATGGATTGAAAGATAACATTAAAGATTTGTTATTAACAATGACAAAAGCAAAATCTTTGGAATAATTTATTACTCAAGTTGTTGTATGTGACTATTGATCATTTGAAAGGCATGAAGAATTGAAACTTGGTTAAAGAAGAACAAATTAAGTAATGATAGTAGCTCCTAAGTTTTTAGAAATTTAATCATTAAGGCTAAAATTAATGCAAATCAATACAATATATTTTAAACTTCTCACAAAGTAGAAAAAGATTCAATGTTGTCAAGAGGATTTGTGCTTATATTATGGAGAATCTAAACACACTTCTCAACATTGCCTAAAGAAGCAATACAATTATAATATGAAGAGAACGATTGCTAAAGAAGACAATGTGTTAAAAAACAAGTTTTTCTAGCTACAATAGAAACTATGCGGCTAAAATTGTGTATAATTCTCAGTAAAGGTCTTATTCTTTCATTCGATTTCTTCACCTTATTTGATAATAGATATATATTTAGGATCTAAAAATAATAAAGACTTTTTATTATTAGATTCTAAAATCTTAGCCTATTTTATAAATAAAGACTTTATCAAAAAATAAGAAGCATCTTTAGTTAAAAAAATTAAATCTATATATGTAGAAGTCATAGATGGTCGTTTGTTGTCTTTTAGAAATCTTATCCATGAAACTCTTCTTTGAGATGTAACAATTAAAGATTATAATAGCATCATAGTATTTAATGTAATAAGATCTCCCTACAATTTGGTTATTTTATGATTATCATGGTTAAAAAAATATAATCTTTAAATAGATTGGA